AGTAACAGTTTTACTACATCCAACATTTTGATTTTGATTATTACCTGGAATATTTTCTTTTGCCACATAAGCAGGCTTCACTCTATACTTACAGGTATTATATTATCGTCTTTATTGATAACTATAACTTTGTCATTTCGTTTTTCAACTCTGAATGGTCCGTCATAGAATGGATTCAACCCAACACGCATCCTGTCATTTCGAACAAATACAAATTCACAATTTTTAAGGTCCGAACTTACAAATGGTTTTTGAGAATTCCTGAAACGAGTTTCCGTTGGTTTGATATTCGAAAATGTCTGTTTTAATTCTGATAGAAATGAAGAAACGTCGGGATTGAATTCCGATGACGTAAAAAATTCTCCGGGTAATCGTAATGTTTGACCATAAACTAGTTCTGCTGCTGAACAATTGAAATCTTCTTTAACAATTGAACGAAAACCTAATAAAATAAGGGGTAGTTCATTTTTCCAATTTTCTGTATTTGCTCTCGCCATCAAAGATGATTTGAGGCTTCGATGAAATCTTTCTACCATTCCGTTGCTTTGGGGATGATATGATGTTGTGTGGATTTTATGAGATCCAAGAAAATCGGTTAATTCTGAAAACAGTCTGGACTCGAACTGACTACCTTGATCAGTTGTTATGGTTTGAGGTACACCAAATCTGCTGATGTATTGTTGAAAAAAGGTTTTTGCTATATTGTTAGCAGTAATATTTGTGAGAGGATATGCTTCAGGCCAACGAGTAAAGCGTTCAACAATGGTCATAATATATATTAATTTTTATAATGCAAATTTCAATAGTGATGATCCAGCAAAACAAATATATGGGATTTCGCTGCTATACTCTTCGAATATTCTTGAATATCGCCTCTCCAGTTGTTGCAGGTAAAGTTGTCTTCGATTTCTTGATTATAAATTTGCGAATATTGACTGTCCTGATGATGTAATCCGTTGATTGAATCTCCTTAGCTGCGCCTTCAAGTAGTTGTATTTTTATCTTCAGAGAATATGCTCCAGTGTTCCGAATTTCTTGTCTCAAATGAGCTCTGTGATTTTTAGTAGCGGCGATTTGATGGGGGCAGTTCTTTGTCAATGTCGGGGTCACCAATATGTGATGGTTATCACATTTATTTAATAGAATACAGTGGAGATATTGATATACGCAGATAATATATATTTGACAAATCTCTAATCAATTTCTTATATGACATATTATATCAACAACATTGTCCTAGCGACTAATCATATACCAAATGTTCTTTATCAAATATAAATAAATATGAATAAGGTTGCCACATATTGCTGTTGGAAATACCGAGTATATACACTGTATCCGTGATGAGGATGTATATCGTGGAGTCAAGTTGATGATGGTTTTTCCGAAATGAAATGTCGTACAAAATATCTCCCAATGCTGTTTTGTAGAGCATAAAAAGTGTCTTTTCATTTCCTATATCTCTTTAAATAACGTCAGAAAAAATGATATAATCCCCATGATAGACATCATTATGTGCGATCTCGCTTAGAGTATGGCTCACTGATTTGGTCTCCTATTTATTCAACTTACAAGCAAAGCCTTGAATCAGTACAAAGATTATTCATGAAATATATGATATACAAAATCGATGGGTTATATCCAGAACAGGGTGTTGATAACTCTATATTACTGAACCAATTTTCACTTATCTCGTTGGAAGACCGAAGAAATTATTACTCGTGTCTATTTATTTATAAGCTCACTCATTATTTTGTTGATTGTCCAGATCTTTTGTCTCAGCTCAATTTTCTTGTACCTCGTATGAACAACAGAAACGAATTATGTTTTTATCTAACAACGCCAAGAACAAATATCCTAGCAAAATCCCCTATATATATTATATGATGTGTAAGAATCTTAATGATGTCTGCGACAAAATCGATCTCTATTCAACTAAAATTGGCTGTTTTAAAAGTAACTTAAGAAACCTCTACCACTAACTAAATACTCAAGGTAATAATGATTGATGTATTATCCTATATATATTTACTTATATCTATTATTAACTGAGTTTATTCTGTATTTGCATGTCCTGTAATTGGGTGCCTCACCTGTTTGGACAATAAACGGTTTTTTTTTTTTTATTATCTTGGACGCAGTGTATATGGTGGACTTGGTGGTGATATCGATAAATCAGGCTTACTCAGTTCCGCCTTTCTAGAGACCTCGAGTTTTGGTAGCGTTCAATTTGACTAGATTGTTTTTGTTGTTCTTAGTTTCGTAGAAAGAAATGAGAATTCTAAAGGAGAACGCAGTATGGACAGAACTATCATCTGCAAACATGTGGATATGGCATGCGGTTACTCCAACAGATCATTGATATGCAGTAGGAACAATATTGGCGCAGAAATTGATCTTTGTTGAACCCCGGATTAGTGGCTATGGTATCAGAGGATACTCCGTCCTCCACCACATGGAGCGATCTGCCTGAAAGAAGACTCGATGAAATATGGCATAGCTGAGGTGCTAAGCCATATGATGGTTGTTTGTGGAGGAAGCCTCGGTGCGTAACACGGTCGAATGCTTTCGATATATCTAACGCCACAGCTATAAAGATACCTCATGTTCTGCTTATGTGTAACGTATGTTATCTATCATCAATGTTTCCTGAGCCTTCCAGATGTTCAAAAGCCCAATGTCTTCCTTCATCATTTTGGAAATAAATAATAACAGAATAATGAGCCTATAATCATTCGCAGTGTTTCCTTATCTTTTATTATTGGAGATTTCGAAATCTATATATAGGAAGGTATGATCTATAGGAGGATAGTGAAACACCTGACTTGAATATACGAGATGGTGAATAACCTTTAGAAAATCAGTGTCAATTCTAGTGCACACTTCTTCAGATAAGAATGAGTAGAATTCTATCAAGTCCATTTGTCAATGAGCAGTGGTAGTAGTAGTGTCAGAATTAATAGCAGTAGTAGTTGTATTAGCAGTTGTTATAGTGATAATATTAATTATAGTAGTGATAGTAGTAGTGGGAGTTGTATATAGATAATATTGTTGAATTCATCGTGCAAGGTCTATTATCGGCTGACTCCTCACACTTGCAAGCTTTTTCTCCCAGAAATGGAAATAGACAACTTTCATTATTCGTTTGAGGATGAAGCAAAAATTTGTTATTTTAATGACGATGAAGAGCAACAGGTAAATTCGTGATATTCTAGATGACCGACCACTCACCTATATATTGAAGCAAGTCAAGCTATTTCATCCACGAAACTCGATGATGAGGATAAACTCCCAAAAAGTTCATTGCGCATATCGAAAATTACACTTAAATAATCATTCTATTCCTTATTCCAGTTCAAATGAAGGCCGGTGTGACGGAACCCGAAAAATCGTCGGAGAAACCTGTGGATGATGCGTTCTCTTTCGAAATCTCGCGTCGCGAATCAGCGAATTAGTCCCGCGGTCCCAACTGAGGTCCCTATACCGAAGCAGACTGTTGCTGAAATATATAAGAATTCTGGAAGAGACCACAGTATGGAGAATACTATCATTTGCAAACATGTGGATATGGCATGTGGTTACTACCAAAAGATCATTGATATGAAGTAGGAACAATATTGGTGCCAAAATTGATCCCTGTTGAACATCGGGATTGGTGGCCATGGTGAAATATGGCATAGCTGAGGTGCTAAGCCGTATGATGCTTGTTTGTGGAGGAGTCCTTGGTGCGGAACACGGTTGAATGCTTTCGATATATCTAACGTCACAGCTATAGAGATTCCTATGTTCTGCTAATGAAGCTCTCCATGATATATGTGTAACGTACATGAGAGCATTTTCAGCCGATCTCTGTTTGCCAAAGCGATGTTATCTATCATTAATGATTCCTGAGCCTTCCAGATGTTCAGAAGCCCAAAGCCTTTCTTGCTCATTTTGGAAATAACTGATAACAGAATGATAAGCCTTTAGTCCTTCGCAGTGTTTTCTCATCTTTTTTATAAATCTTAGAGATTCCGAAATCTATACAGGGTGATTCAAAAGTAAGCGGCATCCTTTCAGAGGCGTATTCCTTGCTTGAAAATAAGGCAAAAAGTTCCTATTGATAAGGATCCGAAAATGCTTCCTAAGGGAGCTACGGCCCTTTGAATAGGACACCTCAAAGACGGTTTTTTCTCTATAACTTTAAAATCCTTCACAACAAATTTTTAAAAATTGGTGTACGGCATAAACATTCGATGGTAAATAGGACTCCGTATTCGAAATTTCAGAATTTCATTCAGGGGCGTCACATGCGGGAGAGGGTAAGTGTAAAAATATCCCTTCTTCTCCGGATATTCAGGTTACTGTGATTTCGTTTGGAAATTATTTCGAATACGGAGTCCTATTTACCATCGAATGTTTATGCCGTACACCAATTTTTAAAAATTTGTTGTGAAGGATTTTAAAGTTATAGAGAAAAAACCGTCTTTGAGGTGTCCTATTCAAAGGGCCGTAGCTCCCTTAGGAAGCATTTTCGGATCCTTATCAATAGGAACTTTTTGCCTTATTTTCATGCAAGGAATACGCCTCTGAAAGGATGCCGCTTACTTTTGAATCACCCTGTATAGAAAGGTATGATCTAGGAGGATGGTAAAACACCTGACATATGTACGAGATGATGGTGAATAACCTTCAGAGAATCGGTGTCAATTCTAGTGCACCCTTCTTCAGAAGAATGAGTAGTGTTAGAATTAGTAGCAGTAGTAGTTGTATTGGCAGTTGTTATAGTGATAGTATTAGTTGTGGTAGTGATAGTAGTATTGGTAGGGGTATATAGATAATATTGTTGAATTCATCGTGCAAGGTCTATTATCGGCTTACACTCGCAAGATTTTTTTTTTCCAGAAATGGATATAAACAACTTTCATCATTCTTTTGATGATGAAGCAAAGATTTGTTATTTTAACGACGATGAAGATCAACAGGTAAATTTGTGATATTGTAGATGACCGACCACTCACCTATATATTGAAGCAATTCAAGCTATTTCATCCACGAAACTCGACGATGAGTATAAACTCTCGAAAAGTTCATTGTGCATATCGATAATCACACTAAAATAATTATTCTATTCCTTATTCCAGTTCACATGGAGACCGGTGTAACGGAACCCGAAAAATCGTCGAAGAAACCTGTGGATGCGTTCTCTTTCGAAATCTCGCGTCGCGAATCAGCGAATTATTCCCGGTCCCTACTGAGGTCCCTACCGAAGCAGACTGTTGCTGTTTCGGTTGCGGTAAATCGAGTGTCGAAGTCGCGTTTCCCAGGGAACTTCTCCTGTAGGAGCGACGCTTGCGTTGTGCAGAGTTCGTTCTCGTACCCGGATTTTGCGAAAGTCTCCCGCTTTTCTTTTAATTAGCGAGCAGGGCGGCCCGATAACGGATATCTACTAGGAATTACTTCATTTCGCTAGAAAATAGGATAACTGGTAACAACAATAGCGATACCAGTCAGACATATTCGACAGGCCCAGTCAGCACATCCGTTTGTCATCAACTTCGAAATATGTCGAGCAACTCTTTCATTCTTCGGCGAAATCTTCATTCTGCACATTGTAGGGATTCTCTTGTGGTCGCTCTAAGAGATACAAAAAATATCAATCATTATCTAGGGTCTCTTGATGTATATTGACGTATTTGTCATCTTGATAGGGTACGGACAAATCATCGCTCCTTTCTCTGTCAATGATATAGTGACTTTGGTTTTTTGTATTAGTGTCCCTGAGTTGACATTGCTGTCACGTTAAATTCATAGGCGTTAAAAGGAATGTAACAAAATTTAATTAGGTAGTACTTACATACGACATTATTCAATTCTGTTTTGGAAATATGGAAAGATGTGCTGCGTTAGGCTGTATCAATTAGTTGAATGGCAAATTTGAATTTGTCAGATTTGCAACAGATGCAAATGAACTTAGAAAAGTAAAGTAAAGAGACCGAATTGGGAAAATCGGTGAATACATCAGCAAAATATGCGTATATGAGGTATAACTGATGCAAAATGACAAATTATACATTGTTATTGTGCCTTATTATCCACTTCATTAGTTTCTGATTGCATTTGCATACCTATACATTCAGGAGATATTGAGTACGTGTTCGTAAAAAACTGCAAGAATGATACCCAACATAAATATTATATAAATATACAGCACATCAGTTTGAATACCTAGATCAAAGTAGATATCAATTCTTGTGGAAAGCCTGAAAATAGTTAGTTTTCTCGGTAAACCAAAGGCCAACTTTGCATGTGGAGCAGTGCCATCTATTCCGGTGCGGTCGCAAACGTTTGCTACAAAGTGCACAACATACTCCGGTTTCATGAATCAGCATGTGAGCAAGTTTATCGTATCGCCTGCCTAGTGGTACGATCACCTTGAATTGATTTGGTGGAACCTCAGTGATTCGTCTTCCTGATGGGCTAGGCATTTCTGGATCTCAACCTACCGGTCCAGTTGCTACCGCAAAGCAGAAATCCTTCAGAATCAGTCCTATGGTTTCTAGAGAGCTATTACCAGGTGAAAGCAATGACCAATGCTAAGTCAAGGAAATTTTTGTTCTAAAATTTGTTCTATCCGTCATTCGGTTGCCCCCTTACGAGCAACCCTCAAAAGTCTTCGAGATGCTAAGAAAGTCTTGGCTATCATTTTTGCGACTTTCTATCCACTCTGTAACTACCAACATATTGGACATCTATATCTATGAAGTTCATGTGCATGTTGTTGGTAATCCAGTATCTTCAAAATCATCATCCAAATCACATCGGTAAGGTTGATGAAACCTTCTCTCGAAAGCAGAAATCATATTCGTACTCAAATGACAATCGCCCTTGTGGTCCCGAAAGGACATATTTGTGATCGTAATAGAGAAAAAACGAAAAAAAATCAACACCCTCAATGTGTAGAGGTACTCACATAATCATAATTCAATCAAAAATAGTTCTTAACTCACCTTCCTCAGTAATTCTGTTGATTCGTACATCCTCAAAAATAAACAGTCGCCAATAACCTTGCAAACACAGACATTCCAAAAGAAATATGCTGCCGAAACGTGGCATGCTGGAATAACCCTTCCACGTGACTAGGAAGAAGTTGGGGCGATATGAAGCTACACAGCCTGCAAGTTTGGTTTCGTCCAACGCTCACTAGGCCGCATAGAAAATTATTTTGAATCGTGGTTCCATTATGGAACCACTGGGACCGAAAGGGACTGAAAGTCAAAATTCATTTATTTATAGGTATAGTTACAGTCTAGGAACAGTTCCATTTGGTAAAACATATTAGACTTCCAAAAAAATGTATGCTCACTACTCACGAAAATTATGCTGGAGTTGCAAAATCGAAAACACAATTATTATTATCATCATTTGTGGATATAATATCTAAAGTTGAATTTTGAATTGACTCGGCCGTTACTTGTTGGAAATCTATGGCAAATGTAAAAACTTCACAAACGATAAGATCTTCACAAAATTCTCAAACACACGACATGTTTCGCTAACACAGTAGCATCATCAGGTGATATACTGGTACAATGATGAAGGAATTATGTTGATTTGATAACTAAAATTCAAAATTTCACTCTACCTGACAACACAAAATTCATTTAATTTGGTTCCAAGTATACCGTTTATAGATCAAATAACACGTAAGGAGGGTTCATCAAAAATAATAAAGGCAAAACTTGTGAATTCGAAAAATCAGTGGTATACAAACTCAATTGTGAATCTTGTCGTGAGATATATAACGGTCAGACAGGTCGTATTTTTAATCAGCACATTCATGAACATAAGATGTTTTGTTGAAGAAGGAAACATATACATAACATAACATAACTTAAGCCAACCATATATTAGAAAAAAATCATAGTTTTGATGATGATTTCTAAATTCTACACGTAGAAAATAAAAAAGTAAAACTCAATCATTTTGAATCATTAGAAATCAGCAAACTCAAAAATTCTGACATTTTACTAAACGGTCAACTAGACCTCAATGGATCACCACTGTTGAATTTGTTTTCTTAGTAGATTATTATATGTATGTGCTATCAACCCTTTCGATTTAGTGCTTGTTTCACAGCTACGATCACACCTGAAGACATTGTATGAGGGAATAACTTTGATTTCAGAATCCCGAATGTCGTTTGAGAGCCAACTTTCAATCAGAACATTTATCTCAGTGTTACAAGAATATATTCTGTATTGATTTATGTGACTTGAAATTACATTATTTTCACAGCATTGCCGGTGATGTACCCATCAGTTGTCAGCAGACCGAAAGCGGTTGATGTTCCTGGGGATCCGAAACAGTACTGTTTCGTTGCTGCTGACATTTGGGGCATGGGGCAACTCTGTTCATCCTATAGTTCTCTCAGTTGTTAGATCTATTTTAATTAAGATTCATGAATTCCATAAGTCATTCATAAATCATTGGTACCACTCTTCTTGGTGCTACCTCTTATTGGTGAAATGTTCTGAGTTTTTATTTTGTTGTAGTTATCCTGATTGAACGTGTAAATTCTTAGGGCCAGTTGCATAAGGCATTCGAGAGAATCAAATATTCAATTTGCTTATATCCATCGCAACGTATGCCTCAGCTGATAAGTTAAAAGAGTTGATTCCTCGTTAAGATGCAATGCAAATACAAGCGACATCTCGAGTTCTTCAATGGAAAGATTTTGAAATGCAGAGCGTTGAAGTTTCAGATAAGTAATTATTATTTAAATATTTTTTCAGAAGTCGAAGGTGCCAAGTGAATTTAGTTTCCGCTCATATTATTAATTTATCTCCATATCATCAAATATCATTCAGATGGTTCATATTATCATATATTGTTCATTATTTACAGAGTGAAAAATAAAAACATGATAGTAATGTTATGAAACTTCGATGTGATAAACAGTTGTTTTACCCCTCCTGAAGTATGTAGATGTAGTGTCACAGCCAATTATTGCATGTAAAAATAGAATATGATTTTGACATTTTGCAAACGTAGATAAACTTCATGATGAATATATTACCGATTGCTGTTGTGTTTTTCCAGATTTTTAAAAAATTACTTCTTTTCGATAGGAGTTCGGGCATTGAGTAATACGAGTGAGTCTACATCTTCACCTACAACAACAGTTTTATTCATTGAATTGAATTGAATTGCTCTATTGCTGTTTCAATTATCATTACATCAGAATCATTAATATCTTGTTTTTCCAGTATATTTTCAGTAGTCAACTTTTCTTTTAACATTGAAATGAACCGAGTTTCGTTGTGAGTATTCGCAAGAAATTTCTGTTGAGTGGTAGGAACTGTCATAGATTGATCAAATAAAATATCAGAAGTGAAGAGCGTGAAAACGTGTGCATGTTATGACGATTACAACTCCTTGAACTTTTCGAATCGTTATATCTCAAGAACGGTGGCTCTGATAAAAAAAAGTAAATGAACATGTTTTATAGATAATTATTTTATCTACAATTTTTGTCCCTGCTAATTTTATGATTAAACTCTCCATTCTGCTAAAAATCGCGAAAAACCGTTTTTGTGACCTTTGACCCCGAGCAAAATTTTTTTCAGGTGTCGGATCGATGAGGATAATATAAATGACAAAATATCAACTTTTCTGAAATCACTTCGTGATTTATGATCAATTCAATGATACTCCTAGATATATTCACCTAATTTGGCCTTTAATTAACGCTGTCCCAAGGATTCAATTCTTTACTATGACTAGTTTTATAGTAATTAATCAAGGAACTCTCCACTTGTGAGTTTTTGTGTCATTGTGTCCAATCACATCCACTGTCGATTCAGTTCATAGAATGTTCCCTATCAAAATTGATGTAAATACTTTCCAATATCTCTAATGTCCTATCATATAATAGCATGTTTGAGGAGTCTCCACACCCTGTATAGGCGATTGTACACTCTGTGAAAAAAAATATGCCTCACCTTTGAAAACACCCTGTACATACAAACGCTGAGGTCCGGAACTATTGGTATTATTTCTGTCGATTGAATACACATCAGTTGGCCAAGGGC